CCCTGTGTGGGCTTATAGTCAGGAGTTGCATGACAGGAGTCAGGAGTCTTGCTCTAACACTGAGGCTCAGAGCCCTGAGTAGGGGCACAGCCATAGTGATTTATGCATGAGAGCAGCTGTGTAGGGGTCCTCTCTCACTCTCAGAGAAGCAGTATTCCCACTAGTTGAGACCAAGTCGCAGAGATACACAGAATTCTGCCTCCCTCTGGCCACCATCTTGGATTCCTCCTTCTGTTCCTTTTGATGTTGCTCCCCCACCTCCCCCCCCCTTAATAGACTCCTGTGGTTATATTTTCAGAGTATCTCTGGAAAATCTACAATAATCTCCCCATATCAAGATCCTTAATTTAATCACATATGTCCCCCTTTTTTTAACCAAAAAAGTGACATTCAAAGGTCTTGGGATTAGAATATGTGGGGCCATAATTCGTTCTACCACCATGTCCTTAGCCACATGTGCATGGCTTTTTAATAATTTCTTCTTTGAGTAAGAGTTTAGATGGATGGTATAGCTCCAATTTCAAAATCTTTTTTTTTTTCAGAATATTGTAGTTTATCTCTCTATCTTCTTTTAGACTATCAGTGTTAGAGATAGTGTCATTCTAAGGAAGAACTAAATTTTGTTGTTATTATAATTATCTTTGGTGAACAATAGTCATCAAATTCTTCTAGTGGTGCGCTGTGGTCATCTTGTGCTCCAGGAAGGAACTTGAGTGCAAAAACATATTCTCCAGTATTAATGTCCCACCCTCAGCTTGAGTCTCTGCTCACCTCTACCAGAGGGGTCTTTTCCCATGCTCTTGCCTCCCCTCAGTGGAAACCTCCTGTTACTTGTTACTTCCATGTGCTAGGCTCACAGTTAAGGGCAAGTGGGATCCAGGAGAAGGTTCTTTGTTGTTTTAGGCCCATCTCATCTTGGAAAGGTCCTGTGTACCTGGCCTAGTGGTGGTACTTTCTTGGCATTTGGTACCCTCCTCTTTGTGACAAGCCAAATTCTGCCTTGTATCTGTGATTGGTCTTAAGTAGTGAACTCCTGCCTCTTCTCCAGTGGTTGATGATGCTCATTAAGTATAGGCATAGAATATTAGGTCCCCAATGAATTCCTGCCTCTCTTCCTATGTAAACAAATTTTCTTCTACTTTTCCTCTAATTATAATGGCCATCTAAGCTTGCATATGCCCTGGAAATAAAAGG